CGATCTATCTTCCCTCCATTTAACCTCGTCTCTTCACCACCTCCCCAAACTCTCCTCATCCTCTCCTCCATGTCTCTCCGCCTCTCCCCGCGCGCCTCGCCCTCTCCTGCGCACAGGTGAAGGTGCTGCGGTCGATGCGGCAGGTGAAGCTGGAGGATTCTGTGGTAGCACAGTACAAGGGCCACGTCAGCAAGTCCGGCTGCAAGTGAGTGGCAGGGGGTAGTGGGAAGGGAGGGGAAGTGAGGGGGGGTGGATGGTAAGGGGGTTTGCCAGCGAGCTGCTAAGGAGCTCTGATGTTCGGATTTACGATGCTTAGTTGTACGGTGCCTGCAGGTCAGCCTTATCCTTGTATCAAGCCAATTAATGCTTGTGTTGCCCCTTCTTTTTCCTGCACCAATCCCACCATCACCACCACCACCACCACCACCTCTGTGTGAGCGCAGGTACCCAGGGTACACGGACGACGCAACGGTCCCCCCCAACAGCGTCACGCCCACGTTTGCAGCAGCGGCAATGTTCATTGACAATGCGCGCTGGGACGGGGTGCCCTTCCTCATGAAGGCCGGCAAGGCCCTGCATGACCTCCGGTGAGGCGCAGGGACGGGCAGCACATGCTTACTTCCTTGTCTCTCCATGGATGTGTTGATCAGCTTACGGAGGTGTATGTGCACATGTGTGTAAATGTGTCTCTTTCGCACTCGAATCCCAACATATGTCAGGCACAATGGAGCCATCTTCCAAACCTTTACTCGCACCTTCTCCCTCTCTTTTCCACAGGCTCCTTTTTCTCTCTCTCCTTTTTTTCCCCGTTCCCTCCACCCCTTCCCTCCCCTGTCAGCTGTGAGATTCGAGTGCAGTTCCGGCACGTGCCGGGCAACCTGTACCAGCACAACATGTCTGGCGTGGACGTGGACATGTGTCTGGCTGGCATTAAAAACATCTCTAACACCCTTTCCCCACCCCCTCCCCCAACCCCTTCCCCACCCTCTCCCTCTCCCCTGTCAGCTGTGAGATTCGAGTGCAGTTCAGGCATGTCCCAGGCAACCTGTACCAGCACAACATGTTTGGAGTGGATGTGGACATGGCGACCAACGAGCTGGTGATCCGCCTGCAGCCCAACGAGGCCATCTACCTCAAGATCAACAACAAGGTGCCGGGCCTCGACTTCAGGCTCGACCGCTCGCGCCTCAACTTGCGATACATCGACAGGTGCGTGCGCCCTCTGCTCTGCTCTGCTCTGCTCTGCCCTGCCCGGAGATGCGGTTTCTCTGTTCTCTGCCTCGATGTGGTGTCCTCTGCTCTGCCTTCATGTGAAGGGTTGTGTTTCCAGGACCTGATTCGCATCTGGTGACCAGATTTTTTGCTGTGTAGGGACAGATTGGTACCGCGGTGCGATACATATGGAGTGTAGCATTGGTCTGTAAATTTTCTGTACAATCTGTTCTGTGTTGCTGTTGCGGTGGTGGTGTTGTGCATGCAGGTATCAGCACGAGCTGCCAGATGCGTATGAGCGGCTGCTGCTGGATGCCATGGAAGGGGACAAGCGCCTCTTTATCCGCTCCGATGAGCTGGAGGCTGCCTGGGGCATCTTCACCCCACTGCTGCAGGACCTGGAGAAGAAGCACCTTGCTCCGGAGCTTTACCCCTATGGCAGCAGAGGCCCTATTGGGGCGCATTATTTGGCTGCTAAGCACAATGTGCGATGGGGTGATCTTTCTTGATCGTAGAGGTTTTTGCTTAATCATAAAGGAGGTTAGCTGGACGGGATGTGAAAGAGGTTAAGGTAGGAGGAGCACGGGATACGTTGGGAGAGATTTAGTGTGGTAGATGTTCTGGTGCAGTTGTTATTGACAGTGCCAACTGTAATTTTGCAATGATCTCTCACATGAATGTCCCTCAATCGTAGTACACCAAGAAATTGAGGCGTTGACAAATCGTCTTGTTTTCAGGTCGCTATCAAAGATACGAAATCACATTCCAAACATTGCTGCCACCACATTCCAAACAATGATCTCTCACCCTTGTACAGAATCAAGCATGCTAATAAATCTGGGTTCAACTTATAATTTTGCATTTAACAATATTGTACACGTGGGTGTAGTGCTATCGTATTAATGAATGTCAACTGATTTCTCGATCACATCGAAGCACGCTGTCCTCGGCTGGATATTGAATCTCGATCGGCTCGCGCTGCGTCCACCTTGATACAAAATCAAGGTCGAGACTCGAGAGCACAAACACGCACATCTTGTTCTGTTACTGAATCAAGCTGAGTGTCTTAGCGTGCTAGAGCCGTAACTATGGAGACGCGTGGTGCCAAGCGAAAACTTGAGGCGGCCGCGGCACAAGACAGGGCTAGCAAGCGCATTCAAGTAGAAATGCCCCTTAGTCAGCCATCGATTGACAAGGAAACAGAAATCGACAAGAAACTTGTGGAGGCTCTGCTGCTAGACATCTCAGAAGGGAACAATGACGAAGGTAGCTACACGTCAGCATGCTCCGTTCTTACTTCACCGGCTTCTCCTGCGTTTCTAATGTATAATTGCCTTGCCAGACGTCGAGGATTCAGATTGGTTCGAAGATGTTGATGACATGCCCGCCGATCCAAACGTACAAGAAGCCAAGGAGTTGAATGCAACCTTTCAAGTGAATTACTCCAAGGTCTTTCATCATTTCTTGCGTCCAAAACTTCCGTTTCTGTTCTGGATTCCTGCATCTCACGTGTATATTGGTTTCATCTCTGCAGGCTTCTTTGCAATTTCACGGAGCTAACTCTCTCCACAATCATTCGGAAGAGTAAGCCTTTGAACCTCATGCCGTTCAGAAATGGGTAATGCGACTCCGAATTATTATGATTAACGCCTGTGAACCACTGCGCTGGTCAAGGACTTCTTGTGGAGATGGACCGTTGACTTATCTTTTTGTCATGGAGCCCACGAGTTGAGCGATTCTTGTATCACTAGGTAGATATCCACCTGAGGAATGTTGCCGCAGCTTATGTACATCGACCATGCTAATTCTAGAGGCCATTTCTTGTGATATGGCGTTCTGGTTATGCTATTGCGTCAGTGGGTGAAACATCCAAATGTGGAGGCCTGATCCCTAAAGCCGAAAATTGTGTGCTGTTCCAGTAGAGCACGTTCTCAGCCACCTTCAGCTAAGAAGTCCGCATAGGAATGCACCAGGATGAAGCAATGGCGAAAGCACCTGTTTTGCGTCCTGGAGCCAATATTTCAACTGCTTTCATTTGACAAGGATAACGTGTATGATGGAGCTTCACAGAGGAATTTAGTTATACGGTACTCAATTCAGAGTGACCAATGCATCAATCATTTACGGTACCCTTGAACCAATGGGAGTAGAGATTCAGTGCAAAATGGATCACTTGGAAGGGGAATGGGTTTAGGAGGGGAAACTGGGAGCAGCGAGGAAGGAGGGGAAACTGGGAGCAGCGAGGAAGGACGGGAAACTGGGAGCAGCTAGGAAGGAGGGGAAACTGGGAGCATCGGGGAGGAAGTGCATTGGAGTCAGATGTAAGTGACAAGGTGAGGGTGGGTGGCGTGGGTGGGACACAGTGGAGTGTTGCAGGTTGGATGAATGGAGCAGGCTGGGATGGTTGGGGTTGGGTTGGGATGGGAAGGCCATGAAGGATAATGGGTTGGCAGGATAATAGCTAGGTCGCTTCTAATTCCACCTTGTACTCTTATTTATATGGTTGTATTTGCATGTTTAATTTCATCTCAATCATTTTACATTCACTCTGATTTGAGGTCAAGGGCCCACCACCACTACCTAGTCGTGTGCGAACCTTCCTGAGGTGATCCTGGTTACGATCAACTTCTGATCGCAGCAGCAGGAAAGTAGCTGAAAAACCGGACCACACCCTCACTTATAGCACTTCTAAACATAGTGCATACTGAAATCACTTATTAGTGTTTTCCCACCCAAAGCTTGTACACCCCACACCAGTTAACCAGGAAGGTGACCTTTCACGTTCAGGAAGAGGCAGGCAGGCAGACTGCTCCAGTTGGCCGCTGCTGCTGACGTATGGTCCCCTGACCGCAGCACTTGCCTACTCCCTCCCTCCCTCCCCAACGGTTGCACGCCAGAACATAATCCTCTCCGTAACATAATCCTCAAGATTGGTTTCGCTCTCCAAGTCTTGCTCGAGATACGGCATTCCACCGCAGTTGCTTGCTAGGTCAACAATGTCTTCCCCTTCCGTGCATCTGGTTTGGATGTGCGAGCTTGGGGGAGCTGGCAGCTGCAGCCAATGGCTGCTTTCTACACGGCTGTCTATTCGAAACAAGAACGTTTCGACAGTTGTCATGGCTGGCAGGTCTTCACGTGCCTTACTATGTCACACAACGGTGGCTCCTTCTCCAAGGTTGCCTAGTTCCAAGGACCTCAGATGACAGTGCACAGTATACTATTACTGCACGCCTACGATTACTCGTTGTCTCCTAGTAGTGGAGGGTTTTTGAAAGCGGGAGTGCCGGCCGGGCAGGCTACAAACTACAAGCCACTGTAATGATTCCTTTCATTCCGTGCCCCTCGTTGTCGGTCCCACTTGGCCCACACTTCAAGCATCCTCGCTCCCGCACCCCTTCTACTGCTGCCCTCCCATCGCACACCTTGTGATGCCGCGCGACTCGAGGCCTCGCTGGTTGCGTCGGTCGGGAAGTGCCGCGATAAGGGGCATACCCTGCTGCGGTCAAGACTCGGCCTTGTTGGCCAGCGGTAGAATCAAAGGGGGCCAATGGTGGACCCCAGCCCACAATCAGGGCTCGTTGCTGCTCGACAGTACTGTACCGGAAGGCGTTTCCGTCCGTGGAGCCAGGTTTGAACCAAGGTGGATAAATGCAAGATTATGGGCCCACGTTTCTTTCAAGAGACCGTTAACTTCTGAGCCCGACTCATGTTATGTTCTCGTGCCAACAGCTGACTTCTTCTGAACACCGTGTGGTACCGATTTCAAGAACCGTAGCTTACCAGCCGCCATGCCGCATTCACATGAAGCCATTGACTCGCCGCCGGTCTCGCAACCCTCGTCGCCGCTCGGCATGCAGCCATGGTCGCGAGAGGTGGGTCGCGAGAGGCGGTGTCGCGAAAAGAGAGCGTCTAGAGGAGAATCTTTCAAGCCCTCCGTTTCTCATCTTGGATGGGATTCAAGAGTTAGTCTTTCAATCCCTTTCTTGCTATGTCAGTGCAATTAGAATACGTGTCGTGTACGTAGGACACGCTCAGTGTGCCTTGAGCCGCGGTCTTCACACTCACTGAGGACACAGCTCATGATGACAACGCTGTCACTTCCCTCCCTCACTCCCACGGCAGGAGGACGCGGTTCTGCTGCGCCACGCGCTGCATTGCGGCACGAAGCAGTGGGGTGAGCTGGGGAGGAGCGGTCAGCTCAACCGAAGCAACAAGTCGTGCTGTAACCGTTACATCTTCCTCAGAAGGTAACGCCGCATGCCGCATGCATGATTTCTTGAACTCAGGTTTCTTGATACGCGTGAGCATATATAACACACCTCAGCCTTTTGTAACACCTCAGCCTTTCTGCTCTGTGTGTTGATAACAGGAAGTTCACTCACCGCTTTCGCGAGAGCTGCCTTAGAAATCACCTGGGAGGAGCTGCATTCCTCCAGCACGCTTCTTCGGACACAGACAGTCAGCCGATTTTCTGTCAGGATTTCCAGCAGCAGCAGCAGCAGCAGCAGCAGCAGCAGCGTTCGGGAGGCGTGTGTTCAGCTGCCCTCGCGTTCGGAGGGCTGTCGTTTGACGAGTGCACGGCTGTCCTCTTTGCCCCCAACGCACGCTGCTGCCGCCAAACCGCCTCACTGAACCTCTCTTCTGTCGCCAGCCCTCCTCCTCCTTCCCAACCCGCCAGCGTCTCTGCTACTGCGGCTGCTTTTATTGCCGAGTTTCCAGTATCCCATGAAGCCTTCCCCGTTGCTGCTGCCTCCAATGCTGCTCAGCGTCGTGCGCTGAAGCGACCAAGGGACGAGTGTCCCACGCTGGGGGCAACTCAACAGCCGCTGCTCGGTGGACGTGAGAGCTGGTTGGTGCCAAGGGGGTTGGTGCGAGGTGGGGTAGTGCGAGAGGGGGTGGTGCGAGAGGGGGTGGTGCGAGAGGGGGTGGTGCGAGAGGGGGTGGTGCGAGAGGGGGTGGTGCGAGAGGGGGTGGCGTGTAGCACGGAGCGGCGGCATCAGTCAGTGGCAGAGCAGTTTGAGCAGCAGGGGGAGAGCAGCCGCGTGCAGCAGCAGGCAGCGGACGAAGCCCTTCTGGAGGCTCTGCTGCAGCAGGAGCATCGCCAGCAGCAGCCGGGAGGAGCGAGGAGCAGGGCGCAGCGGGTGTTCTGGCCGCGCGTTGGGTCAGAGAGTGCCCTTCCAGACGACGTGCTGCTGGGATTCAGCAGCGACGAACCTGCCTTCAAGCAACGTGCTGCTCTGTCTGCTCCTCCGCCCACCCAGCCGCATGCACCGCTGCCAGCGCCAATGCCTTCCCAGCTCGCTGCTCGGCCTATCTGCGCTTCCTTCTTTGGTGATTCCACCCCTTGCCGTGCGAATTTCGCACCCTGCATTGGAGATTTCGCAGTGCACCGGGAGGAATGGCTCCGCGTTGCGTCAGAGAGCGCCCTTCCAGACGACGTGCTGCTGGGACTCTGCTGCGAGGTCCCTGCCTCCACGCAGCGTGCTGCTCTGTCTGCTCCTCCGCCCGCCCAGCCATTCACAGCACCAATGCCCTCGCCGCTCGCTGGTCTGCCTGGCCCCACTCCTGGCTGCACGAGCAGGTGCCTTACAGCGATGCTTGCTGGGAGTACGTGTGGCACGCTGGAGCAAGAATACCTGGATGCATGCATTAACATGCTTGGCAACATAAACAACACTGACAACGTGAACAACACTGACAACACTGACAACACTGACAAGCACAGTGACAAGGACAGCGGTGCTCTCTTTCTCGACACGCCTGTGGCTCACGTGCTGCTGGGTGGGGGTGCCCTCACCGTGCCCTTGACGAGTGGTCCTCAGGCTGAGAGGCCTGCAGCACCAGGTTCTGCTGGGACAGCCCCACGTGCTGCTGGGACAGCCCTGCCAGAGTGGGCGGAGGAGCAGGGAGGGACTGGGGAAGGAGGTGCTGAGCGGCACAGGCAGCAGCAGTATCTCGCCCAGGAGGGCGTGCTTGCCCAGTGGAAGTCTCGTCAGTACCTTGAGCTTGACCGCATGCTCTCGCTGCCACTGCGCCAGCCACAGCTGCTTTCACAGCCACCGCCACAGCTACTCCCAAAGCCACTCTTACAGTTACCGATACCAGCGTCTTGGCTGCCTGTGCCTTCTCAACATCCACGGGCTCCATTGAATGCGCACTCAACCCCAAGAGGGTCGCACATGCAAGCTCCCATGCAGCCTCGCCCGGCCATGCTGCAGCAGCCCTTCACCACTGGTGGTGCTTTACCGGCTCTCTGCAGCCCCATACTCCCTCCATTGCCTGACATGGCCGTTACATCAGGAGGCGACGCCATGTCCTGAATGCCACAACTGGTCATGAGCTCAGCTAATCTTTTCGAGGAAGAACGGATTTGACACTAACGGGGATGGGGTAATGATTGACTAAAAGAATGGTGTCCATGAGCACTTGGACTTCACATACAGCGTTCTTCCTATTGGAATGCCTCCAGGCTTCATCCCAACATATTCGGTACGCATGTTCATTGGTCATTCTAAATTGCACAGCATTCTGTCTTCGAAAGAGTTGCTGAATTGAGGTTAGTACGGTACTAGCTGACTTGAGGTTAATACTAGGCACTGTAGTATAGTTTGCGCCTTCTTACTTCGTAATGTGACATTGTATATTGAGATTGTTTACTAAGGCACAAGCTCCTTCCTGTCAAAGTTACCTTAGATGCCAGCTGCTTGACACCTGTTCCATTCCATGTGTACGGCAGCAACTCAGGCTGTGGATGTCCACAGGAGTTCTTTGTTTTCTAAGTTCTCAACCTCCATCTATTGCAGTATATATGTTAGCTCTTTTGAACATGCTCAAGAAACCATCTACGGTACATTGCATAATCAAGTCCTGATGAACCTAAAAGGCTCCTACTGGCCGACAGAATCTGAAGTATAACCATCCGTAACACTGGTCCCAACGTGGAGGCACTTGTATGGCGGCTTACGCCTGAGGAGCATGGGCACTTAGCCACTCAAAAATGTCCTGTCGGACAGACGAATGAAGAGGACAAGATGGGTGGGGGGGTGAGAGAAGGGGAGGGGTTTTGGGGAACGAAGGTTAGGAATAGAGGAACAATGGCGATGCTCATGTGATCAGTCAAACAGTCAGTGCTGCACATCAAACATGCCGTCAGATCTCTGTGTACACTCGTCACCTTAACACACAGCCGTGCAAGAAGGCTGACCAACAGTGGGGCCGTTTTACAGCCAAATGAGGACACGCTGGAATCACTTGGTTAGGGTAGTCTCTTCCTCCTTTCCTTCATTTTCTTTAACCCCCTTTCCCGTCCTCACCTTAAACACGATCTCAACGTTCTCATCTAGCTCCCCTTCTGTGAGGCAGTGCCAGAGGCCCGGGTACAGCTTAAATGTCTTATCGGTGCTGCGCGCCTTCTCGTACAACGCCTGGCTCACTGCAGGCTCTGTCACGGTATCAGCGTCACCATGGAGCAGGAGGAATGGCAGGGTCACCTGACACACATAGGCGAAATGTAAGGTGTTCAAAGTAGGTAGGGAACATAGATAAAGAATGACGGTCACATGGCGTTGGTGATAGTAGCAGGTCTTTAGGTTTCAAAGAAGTTGATAGATGGAGATGAAAATGCAAGATAGCACTGAATTACTGCTGAGGTCAGCATACCTCATCCAGCCGTCGCTCAAGGTCTTCACTGGTCTGTAGCATGGTGAGGGCTGTTCGAAGGCGAGGCTTGTCCGTGAAGGTGTACGGACTGGCCCGGATCTGCCAGAACGGCCATGAAGAGATTGTTAGAGTTTTGTACTTTAAGTAAGGCACGGAAACAGAACTGGCAACAACTTCCTAATTGGCAGGAAAACCAAACACTTCTTGTGTCAAATGACAACTGTTTCCGCACCTTTTCTCTCTTAACCGGGTCGCGGTTAGCTGCGCTGATGATGTCAGAAGTGGGGACAATTTTCCATGTCGGCAGAAGATATGCAAGGTTTTTCATGATTGCAGTGACGATCGCTGGCGGCTTCACCTTGTCAGAGATCTGCAGATAAGGCAACAGAGAAGAGACTTTGGTGCGCATACATTCAACTCCTCAGGGTCAGCCAAGCAGCAATCATGCCCATACCCTCACATAATTCCATCAAGCCCTTATCAATCAATTCCTCTTGCTCCGCTTCCTTCTATACCATCGCTCTCCATTCCTTTGGCATTCAACCCACTCCACATGCTCCCTTTTTCCAAGTTGCAAAGACTTGCATCCGTGCTGCCATTCCCCACCTTGCACATGGGTGCCATGAGAATGGCTCCGTCCCAAGCAGTGGGCTCCTTGCGGTGCAGGCGGAGGGTAACTGCTCCACCCATTGACTCCCCCATCATGAATTTGCGCTTGTTCTTGTACTCCTCGCGCTCTGCACATCCCAGAGCCACACATGGGTATCCACAATACCACGCATGCACACATAAACAGAAGCAAAAACAGAAAGTCTAGCTATTAACTTCGGGTGCACAATAAAAAGATGGAAGATTGAAACGCGAATGGCATTATAAAGGACGACGCTCCAAGCAGAGCCATAACTCATCTGACTCTGTTACCTCGAATAGGGGTGATATAATCGACGAGATCGTCAATGATGGTCTCAAACTGCGGAATGTACACTGGAAGACCTTCTGACCTACAGATTTAGGCACAAACAGTTTGGCTCAAAAGAAAGGATACAAAAGAGATAGAAATCTACATAATTTGCAGCTGACGACTTCTGACGTCGTTAGCTGTGAAAGGAATCATAATGCAATGGTCAATACCTTCCATGGCCCTCATAGTCAATCCCAAAAACTGCATAACCTTCTGATGCTAGCCGCTCTGCTGTGGCTGCTCATAAGCACGGAGAGACGAAGAATCAACTCACATGTCGGACAATGGCGCAAAGACACTGCGAGACGAAGCGACCATTCTGGGATAGTGTGTGTGAAATATAAGAACAGTCAAACTTACAAGCAAAAAAAGTGGTGCAGTCCACAGCGTAACCTGGATAATCAAACAATACCACACAGATATCCAGACAAAGTCGAACAGCACAATTACTCAGAATCCCGTTTCGAGAGAAAAAGGCGAACGCCACTCTTCAAAGGGATGGAACTCATGATGGTCACACCGTGAAGGAGGAGGATGAGGGCCTTTGGCTCGCCGTTCGCAGGAAGCCATGAAGCAGTCTGAAGTTTCATGCCCCTCGAGTTCGTAAAGAACTCCTGTTAAGAGCCACAACGTGGATAAGACGCTGGAAATTCCGCCATAAACGACGCGGCAAGTGCTTGAGCATAAACACGATGCTTTCGGCCCGTTACTTACTTCGCTATACTTGATCCCTTTAGATTCCTGCAATGATAAAGTGTACAGTCATATGTCAGAGTTCCTTACGAGCTTACGGGAGATTTAAAACGGGGAATGGGAAAAGAATCATAACAGACGTACGTAGTAAGCTGCATCCTTGGCAACTGCTTCAGCCATCCTCAAAGACTGACACGACGATAGGTTATCAAAAAGCTGCGACACACTCTCTTTTCTTATGAAAACTGCTGACCAAGTTCACCAAGCTGCGTGGAAATCGAAGTTGCTGCTTTCCACACCACAGGGAATCCTCGATGGGAGGGAAGACCAGCATACAAGGATAGCAAACTCGTTGTCTGGGGGCGTGGTCAGTGCCACTTCTGTACAATCTTGGGTGGATTCTGGGCCGAGACCGTGAGGGTTCAGGAACTGAATGCACGAACTGGACACTTCTGCAAATACATCCTCGATTGCAGTTCTTTCAATCGAGATCCCGCGCGGTTGCTGCCGACAGCAGGTGTTGGATGTTTCGGCCGACGGTATCCCACTCTTTGTTTGGCGAATCACTCAAGTTTGTTCGAGGATGGTTACAGTTACGCTTCCTTGAGTCATGCCATTTTACAAGCTTACCTTAGTTCAGCAAACTTTGCGAAGGTAATTAGACAGTGCTAAACATGTCCAATGCAGGTTTCACCAGCAACATACTGTATTGATAAAAAAAACGTCTACTCATTGTTGCAGTTTGTAAGCCCTTCGCTAGTAAAATGCGTTTCTGAACAATACGACGTCTTACTGGTGTTCAGCAAAGTATAGTCACACAGACTACCCTTACCGCAAAGCACCGAACCTGACTCCAGACGCTCTGACCTGAGCCCTCGTCCTTCCTGCTGATCCTCCACCAACCAGCCATGGCCGCCGCTTTGAAACGACCAACCTTCCAAAATCATGAGTTGATGGCGCTGGAATTCTAGCCGGTTTGCTTCGCGCCATGCGCACCGCCATTCCCAGGGCTCCAGCTTTTCCATTTCTAGTTCAAGCGTCGTCGCGCCGTCAATTCTTTCAGTACCCGAATTGTATCAGCGATCCCCAAATGTGTTCGTGTAGCAAGTCGCAGCCTGTGGTGATTGCGTGTGCCCTCTCGCAACGGCGACCTTATCATGTCCGCCTGCCGCTGCCCTTCATAGCCTAGCTTCCAAAAGATAGGCATCATCGTCCAATCCCGCTAGCCCCGTTCCAGAGTTCTCCGCTCCCTCCCTAACCCGTTAGTCGCACTAACCCGGATCTAAGAATCGCGTAGTCCCATAGAGTTCTGCTCGTATTTCATGCATGGCTCAGCGACTCAATCCACGCGCTCCCACCACCGCAACCGCCGGATCCAGCTCTTCCGGCACCTCTGCGATTCTCGAGCACGACTCGGGCGACGCTGCTGCGACCTCTGCGACGTCGCCCATGGCGTCGGCCGCAGCGCCGTCCTCCACGGCGGGAGGCGGCCATGAAGACGGCCCTGCGACGCTGAGCGACGCCGAGCGACGTCGCATGGCGGGGCTGGGCAGCGGCGGCGCGGCGAGCATCGGCGGGTTACCGCCGTCGCGAAGGCATCGCACGGTGGCGGCGTTCGTGGCGATGTCGCTCGTTCTGGCGGCTTACGTCATGGGCGTCGCGCCGTCCCTGCCTCGTCTTGGCCGAGCCATCCTCAGAAAGAGGTGCGGCCATGGAGGCGAGTGGAGGGTGCACGCGTAGAGGGATGGAGGGCGCCACACCGAAACATTCGACCTTACTCTCTCCTCAGCGCTTTCAACCCTTTCTCTCCTCGGCGCTTTCCCCCCTCCCCTGCGCACTCTCACAGTACTCCCGTTCCCAGTTTCCCACTCCCCTGCCCCCAATTATTTATCCTGGCCCCACTCATCTTCCCCTCCTTTCGCTCTTCCTCCTTCCCCTCCTCCCGCTCCTCCCTATTATCCCCCCTTCTTTCCCCGTTCCCCCCATCCCTTCCCCCTCTTCTCACCCACTCCCCCCCAGCCGCGCATCCCACCCGTCCGACTCGATCACGCGGTGGACGCGGCGTCTGGCGGAAGGAGCAGCGCTGGCGGCGGTGCGCGAGGGCATCCGCCCGCTGGCCTTCCGCCCCGGACCCGCGCTACTGCGCCCGCGGCGGCGGAGGGAGCAGGCGGAGGGGGACGACGGAGGGGGAGGGGGCGGAGTGGGGGGAGGGAGGGGGAGAGGGGGGTACCGGGCACGGCAGGGGGTGGAGGAGGCGGATGAGTGTGGGTTGCCGAGGAGGGTGGGGCGGTGTGGGTTGCGGAAGGGGGAGAGGGTGCATGTAGCTGTGGTCAGCCAGGGGGAGGCGAGGAATACGCTCGTGCTGGTGAGTGGGGCGAGGGAGGATGCTTGGGACATACTCCACTACACTAGGACGAGTGGGATTTATTCAAGTTGTTCCCGATCTATTCTGCGTGCTCTCTGTTGCTCACTTCGCCTGTCTCGTTACTTGCTTCGCTTGACCCATCCTCCACCGCTTAACGTAACCCCACCAAACCAGCCACTCCATCCATGCCCACACACCCGAACCTCCTATTTCCCGTCCCCTCCAACCACCCTCTGCCCCTCTCCTCCACCCATACAGACCCAGCTGCGGCTGCTCATCGCATCCATCGCAGCACACACCAGGTGTCCGCTCACCTTCCACCTCGTCATCCCACCCGCCGACCTCAACCCCACTCTCGCCGCGCTGCACGCCTTCCCTGCTGTGCGCATCCACCCGCTGCCCAGCCCTTTCATCTCCGTCGCCTCTCCCCTCTCTGCCAACGCCAACGGCAGCTCCACTGGAGAGCCTGCTGGTGCTGGCTCGCTGCAGTTTGACGCTGTCGGTGCGTCGTCCGGGTACCAAGAGTCCAAATCGGATCTTCGGAAGCTCTCCGCCGTGCCTTTCTTGCTTGCCATTCATGCGCTTCCCATGCGCTGGCTCAAGGCCCAAGCCAGGCTCCTAGGCACGCATCCGAACCTGTCCCCTGACGGGCCTGCTGCTTTGGGTCGGTTCCTCCTGGCAGATATCCTTTGGCAGGTTGAAGCTGCGATAGTGATGCAACCAGACGTGATTGTAGGAGGGGACGTGCAGGAACTCTGGAAAATGATTGAGAAGAGCAAGGGAACGAGCGATCTTCTGTCGTTGATTGTTCCTCTGGAAGAGGTTCAGGTGGGGGAGGAGGAGGAGAAGCAGCAGCAGCAGCAGCAGCAGCAGCAGCAGCAGCAGCAGCAGCAGCAGCAGCAGCAGCAGCAGCAGCAGCAGCAGCAGCAGGGAGGGCTGCTGGGATTGGGGGGTTGGTTTAGGAGAACCAGGGCTCGAATATCGCTTGATACGATGCGAGTGGGGAATGGCGTGCTGCTGATGAATCTGGAGAGGCTCAGATTGCATGGCACAGGCAAGGTGAGTGTTCTGAACATGGCACCTTCTCTGGCTTCACTCCACACCCTTTAGTTTCCTGGGTCAGAAGGTGGTCATGGGAGTGGATCAGGTTGTCTGATGAGTGGTATGCTCATGCTTTGGGAGCTGCGATGAATCTGCTGTGGTGTCGCTTCACCAAGGATGTGAGGAGCTAGTGGTGTGCTGCAGTGTCACCAGCACGCCATTGATGCATAGTGCACTAGCAAAGCTGTTTAAGAATGAGACCTTCTTGTCTGCTGCAAGTTAGGGATGTGTTTTCCTTTTTGGCAAACCTTTACAACAACACATGTATCTTTGTGTCCCTTACCAACCCCTTTCCCCTGTCATTGCGACTTGTCTTACACGCAGCTTCTCTCCCGTGCACTACAACACCGTCCGCTCACACTCGAACCCCTTTTCGATCACAACCGTCTTGAATCCTCCCTCTTCCTCATAGTCTGCCGCAAGTTCCCGCGAACATGTGCTCCTCTATCCCCGCTTTGGGCTATTGATGGTTGCTCTCCTGGCGCTCCTTTCTCTGGATTCTCTTCTCACGGTCGAGATGCTGCTACGGGAATGTGCTGGATGCTTGCACACATGCATTGCCAAGCACCTGTACGTGCAGAGAATGTGATTGAAGTGAAAGGGAAGGGACAAGGAGGGGAACTGGAGGGTGTTTATGGGGCATTGAAAGGAGAGGGGAGGGAGCAGGAGAGGGAGGATGCTGTAGGCGTGTATAGGTTGCCAGATGGGGCTGGATGGGAAGAGGCCGTCCAGTTCGCAATGAATTATTTTGCGGCAAGTGGTGGGGATGGGAGGGGGGGATAATCAGAGGGGGTCTGTGCTGTGTAACCCAACCCAGCCTCCATCAACGTATGTACGGTATGTTACAAACTTACAACCTTGTGGGTATCATTTTAACCTACATACTTGTCTTTTGTAAGTGATTTACTGCAGTGTTACTGTATTGGAGTGGCTAAAAATGTGTTGGTGGGCTCAACTGAAAAGGGGTGGACTTATTTTCAGGGTTTGAAGACAAACACTTCTTTTAGTAAAGCTTGCTGTAAGATAGCTTTTTGCATGAACTCTACATCTTGTTGAAAGGCTTGTTCTATGCTGTAACTCCAAGGCATGCTGAAGAATAACCGCTTAGTGGCAGAACAACAGGACAGGTGCATCTTCTTTCCGGGTACGGCACAAACAAACAATGCTCAATGCTAAGATCAAGGCATGCATTTGCACGCTACCAACAAGGTTACCATATGCATGCTGGCAGGCTTTTATATAAATAAGCACCCCAATATAAATAGTTGTGGATCCCTTTCAGGCAAAACGCTTTGCCGCCCAGCCATCACGCTTCTGTCTTTGATCTTGCTGGCTCTTTGTGTTTGCATTGAGAGCTGCAAGGGGCTTTCTGCTTTGTGTGGAGCCTTCAGCAACAGGATCAATGTCATGCAGGAGCATCATAACATGAACTCGTTTGCTCCGAGTATCAGAATATGGCTGCGAGAAATAACCTTCATTAGCAAACATATGTTGCGTTCCAGTCAATAAACTGAAGTTGTACATACCTGGAGTAACTCATTTAGTACGCTGTCCCTCAACGTATGCATGAGCTTTAGTCGAAGTGATCCATTAGACCTGGAATGGCTTTCTGGTAGTATCCATCAACCAGACAGCTCAAGCTCCTCATAGAGATGCACTCGTACCTTATACATGTGAAGAGGAGTATGCAGCACTGCAGGACCATGTCAAGAAGATGTATGCCCATTGGACCAGGAGAGGTGCAGATGTCATTCACCTGAAACTGAACCAGGTAAATCTCTGCACGGCAAAAATGTAAGAGCCAGCAGGAAAACCCAAATCGACCAACCATTTTGCATAATGTTATAATAGTTCCTTCAAGAATCCCTCTCATGTCTGGTTTACACAGTGCCTTCCGTATGCTGTCATGTTGAAGTGCCTTTTCGATGATTGTTGTGCTCATCTGCGGACTCAAATTTCAGCACAAGAACTCAAACCAGCCAGCAACAACACCACTCACCACTTTGCTAAGTTCGCTGCCGAGATGTGCTGCGTGCAAGCAGACGCCGAAGACCTTCGCCTCAAGTACCCATTGAGAGACAAATTCTTCCTTCCCCTGATCATACAGCCGTGAATATGGGTTTCACTCGTGTTTAAATCTTAGTGGATTGAAAATTACTACCTGGCAAAGCGCGGCGATCACAGAAAGGCTCATGAGCCGTAGGTTTTCATAGATCTCGTTATCAGCCTTTTCTTTTGAAAGTACCAATGGCAGAATGTAGCTCCCGATATGTGCTACGAACGAACAAAAAGAAAGTATCAGCAACAATGGGAGGGAAGATATGAAATACGAGAACCATAGAAACTCAATACCTCTGATAAATTCTCCACGGGTCTCCGGGTTGTGTGCGATGCTCTGCTCGTTGTTAAAATCAGCATATAATCTCGTAAAAAACACGACAGGACTCAGTACATGCCTGAAGTAATGTAAGAACATTGCCAATCCGTTTGGAAGCCCGGACCGAAATTTCTCCATCTGTGAACTTCGGATAGACAGAGACGATTTCCTGGCGAAACATTTGATTGTCAGCTGCGGCCAAGTCAATAAATGTCGAAGCAAAAGTCTACCTGGATGAGGATGGGTAGGGTACCAAAAGAGTAGCAGAGAAAAATCCCAGTCATTGCGTAGAGGAACTGGTCATCGTCACGTTTCTGTTCAGGAGACGAGACATTAGTTTGTGAGGGATATCTGTGCTTTCGAAACCGAGATGCAGGCATCTTACGTCGTTTAACATGCCGCTGAGACTTCTGAGTGCATTTTCCCTTAGATCCTCAGCCTGAAATTCTAGAATCAAGTCTGGCACAGCCAGGATTCTCCTGAAAGGCCCTTTGTGTTTCCTGCCTCCTCTCTTTCGCCGCCTAAGAGCAGCGAGAGAGGCATCCTCACCATGGTCATCGTCAAAAAGGTCCATGACCCTGGAAGGTGGAGAGGAAGTTCTCGAGGACTGTAGGAAGTCTCCCTTGATAAACCTTTGGAGTGGACTCGAGCCGCAGGTTGAGGATGGACAACCTGGCTGGAGCAACACTCACAAGACGCGAGGCGCTGGGTTGACCGAGATTTCTTGACGCGTTATTACGAACCTACTGAAGCACTAAAATGTGCAATATATACATCATAAGGAATAATTCAGTAAACAAATGTAAAAAATCACCCACTCATAACATGCTCATCACTCTGGTATTCATTAATTAAAAAAAAAAACAGAAACCATTTGAGAAAACCAGATATCCATTTTTTATATAACACAAAATTGTCCAGAATATTTGATATGGGTCCTCCTAAGTGAAGGATTGTCAGAACATATATATAGCTTATGCTGTTGTGTAGGCTATAGTGGGGTATCCCATAGGGGGTACAACCCAATTAGGGTTTCCTATATGTACTCACTTCATTCATAGTTCATCCATTCGCTTTCTCCTTTTCTCATGGAATCAGAGCAGGTCCCCTCCTAGGGACTGTTTCTAGGGCCCACCGAAGCGCGCCCCGAGGCGCGCTTTCTTTTTTTTAGCGACCCTCCGTGTCGCCCCTAGCGGCCCGTTGCGCCGCCCTCACCTACGCGGCCCCGCCGCCCTCACGTCGCGGCCTCGCCGCCCTTGCCTACGCGGCCCCGCCGCCCTCACCTGCGCGGCCCCGCCGCCCTCACGTTGCGGCCCCGCCGCCCTCACTTCGCGGCCCCGCCGCCCTCACCTACGCGGCCTCGCCGCCCTTGCCTACGCGGCCCCGCCGCCCTCACCTTCGCGGCCCCGCCGCCCTCACTTCGCGGCCCCGCCGCCCTCACCTACGCGGCCTCGCCGCCCTTGCCTTCGCGGCCTCGCCGCCCTCACGTCGCGGCCTCGCCGCCCTTGCCTACGCGGCCCCGCCGCCCTCACTACGCGGCCCCGCCGCCCTCACCTACGCGGCCTCGCCGCCCTTGCCTTCGCGGCCTCGCCGCCCTCACCTACGCGGCCCCGCCGCCCCACTTCGCGGCCCAGCCGCCTATCCTCACCGGCCCCGCCGCCTATCCTCACCGGCCCCGCCGCCTACGACCGCCGAGCCGCCCTACCGCCGAGCCGCCCAGCAGCCGAGCCGCCCGGGAGCCGAGCCGCCCTGCTGCCGAGCCGCCCTGCCGCCGAGTCGCCCGGGAGCCGAGCCGCCGAGCCGCCCTGCCGCCGAGCCGCCCTGCCGCCGAGCCGTTCGGGAGCCGAGCCACCCAGCAGCCGAGCCGCCGAGCCGCCCAGCCGCCGGGCCGCCCTACTGCCGAGCCGCCCGACCTGCCCTGCCTGGTGAGCACAGCACCACTGTTACTGCGTGCCCCTCCCCTACTGCTTGCACTGCTACACTGTCGTCGTCATGGCTACCCCTAGTGTCCTAGCTTTTGACGCTGAGGGTCGAGCCATTGACTTTGAGGTCTGGGTCGACGACCTGCAGCTGTTCTTACAGTGCGATAGGACGGACGGTCTTTCCCTCTTTGACCTCACCTCTGGCGCCTCTCCTGCCCCTGCTGCTGATGCTGACCCCACTGTTCGTTCTCAGTGGGCCACCCGCGATGCTGCTGCACGTCTTGCTGTGCGTCGCCACCTGCCTACCACTGAGCGCGCGCACTTTAGTCAGTACAAGAGTGCTCAGACCTTGTACGACGCTGTAGTTGCGCGCTACTCTTCCCCTGCCACTGCTGCCCTGAGCCGCCTCATGCTACCGTACCTCTTTCCTGACCTTGCTGCCTTTCCCACTGTCGCTGACCTCATTACGCACCTCCGCACTAGTGACACTCGCTACCGCGCCGCCCTTCCTGCTGAGTTCTGCGCCAAGAACCCCCCCCCCATGTACATCACTCTCTATTACATAGTCACACGCCTCCCTGACTCCCTTCACGTAGTCAGGGACCACTTCCTCTCAGTCTGTCCCACCACTCTCACTGTCGATCTCCTCGAGAAGTCCCTCCTGGCGGCGGAGAAGAGCATCGTCGCTGTAGGAGCCTCTCGTGGTGACCCTCGCACCCCCATCTTTGAGGGGTGTTCTCCTTCCCCCCTGCTGCCCTCTGTTGCCTCTGCTGCTGCTGCCGACCTGCTTGGTCTTGAGTCGGTCTGCGCGGCGTCTGCCCCTAGCGGGAGACGCCGCCCTGGCAGGGGCAAGGGGGGCAAGGGCGCGGGTGGAACTGGAGGGGGCGGTGGAGGTGGCGGTGGAGGCGGCGGAGGGAGTGGGAGTGGCGGTGGGAGTGGTGGCGGGGGCGGTGGTGGCGGTGGCAGCAGCGGAGGAGGAGGCGGTGGTGGCGGCAGCGGTGGGAGCGGAGGCAGCGGTGGTGGTGGAGGTGGAGGCGGCGGTGGCGGAGGGGGTGGAGCTGGTCGGGGTGGTGCCCCGCAGCGTAGCGGCTCTGGTGGTGGCCAGCGTCAGCAGCAGCAGCAGCAGCAGCGTTCGCGGGACATCCCCCCGCCCCAGCAGCTCCGTGAGTGGTACACGCAGCGTCAGCGGGGTGGGGGTTTTGGTCCGTGCACCTACGTCCTTCGTTCCGGCGACCGCGCGGGTGAGCAGTGTGGGGGTGCCCACCCCACCCAGCGCTGCTTTGGCCGCCTGACGGACGCTTGGCGTCAGCAGTTCCCCGAGGCTAGTGAGATTCCCCGTTGGGGAGAGCTGTCTAGGGCTGGCGTAGCTATCTTTGATCTTGACTTTGATGCTATCCTTGCTGCCATGTATGCTGTGACTATTAGTGAGGAGGGTGACTGTTACCGGTGTTTCCCGCCCGACCCGGGCATTGGTACTGCTGCGC